GCAGCAAAACAAAATGACAAACAAACAAAAATACATGAACACCCATACACACGCATGAACAACCATGAACATCCATGGACACCCATGACCACTTGAGCTCGCATGAGCACCCATGAATTCACATGAATTCGTGTTTTTCGAAATACAATGCAGCTGGCAAATTACTTGTTGAACCATATGTTTCACAGTTCTTGAATTTCTTATTTTGGGTTGTTGGCTATGTGAGTTTTTGGTTTAATTGTTTTTTCTTGAACTGAACATTAATTCTATTTTTATGTTTTATATTTTTTTTGGTTTTGTCCTGTGGTGGTTTCGCGCTCCGAAAAAAATCGCTGATTTTTGCAAACCATGTTTTTTTTATTTATTTATATATAGTTATTTATTTATTCTTTATTTATTTATTTATTCAAATTTATATATATATATATATACATCTATGTATATATATATATGTATATATATATATGTGTGTGTGTAATGTTTTGTATTTATATCTATAATTATGTATATATATATATAAGTGTGTGTGTGGGGGGGAGGTTGTCTCAAAATGAGGTGTCCTTTTTTTCTCTCAAAGAACCCTTTTAGGAACCAAAAAAAGACACCTCGTTTTGAGACATATCCATGTATATATATTACTTTTTTGACATGTGTTTTTTGTTTCTATCCTGTGTCGGTTTGTCCAATCCAAAATATATGTTTTCTGGTTTTCTTTTGTATTTAGTTTGTTTCAGCATCATTTTATCGGAAAAATGCATCAAACCAAAAAATGTGCAATTGGAGATTACAAAATATTTTTTGTATATAAAGAAAACGAAGTTTCTCCAAAAAAGGTGCCAATACAGGTTATTCATATAAATAACCTATAAGAAAAAAGTTTATTCATATAAATAACCTAAAGAAAAAATGTTATTCGATCATTCTGACTATTAGGTAAAACAGTTGTTTTACCTAATCGGTAAAAACACAATTTAACTAATAGTCAGAAAACAAGATATAACCTAATAGATAGAATTTAGCCTAACCAGAGCTTTTGGGAAGATGGTGAAATCCACGAAGACCGATGTGGACTTGAAAGCACTTCTGGTGGAAGCCATGAGTGAGGGATTTGACTCCTACATGGGGAAAGTCCTCGCACCCTGATATTCCTATTTATCTTGGAGCCATGCATGAATGTCATGTTTGTCATGGGGTGGTCTTTGAAGATGAGACATGCATGTGATTTCATGGTGATAGAACAGATCGGTTCGCTCATGACGTCATGACATGGCCCTGTTTTGCTTTAAGCATGGACAGCTTCAGATGAGGGAAGGTGTCAAAGTGCCCAATCCGACCAGTGGATGAACTCAAAGTACTCGCTCTCGAAGAAGACGCGAGTTCAGACTGGGGGGTCTTGCGCAATGCTGGCCCTGGGGGACACTGGTCAAAACTTGTTCCGCACGAGTTATTCTGTCAGCATGCTGGAAGTCAGCTTGAAAATGAAAAATCCGAGCATGTCCCACAACATGTCACTTGTGAGATTCACCAACAGTTTAGCCAGCTCATGCCTTGCAAGTGTGTCACATGGGAGTTTGCCAATGACATGTTCAATATGCTCATGAATTTTCTCATGTTTCAATAGGAATTTGACCATGACATGTCCAACATGCTGATGACAGGCCATCATGTTTCACATGGGAGTTTGACCATGACATGTCCAACATGCCCATGACTTGCAACATGCCCCGCATATGGGTTTGTGGTACCACATGTTGACTTTATCATAGGCTCCCTACCATGGACATAACTTGATAAGGAAAGGGCAGTGGGCGTATGGCAGACTCGCAGGATCGAGACTGTCTTGATGAAGTGGGACGGTGTTCCAGGGAACTTGGGCCACATCATTCCCACCGTGAAGGTGAATTCGGATCTGTGGACTTCAGACACTAACAAGATCAAAGAGCTGCAGCGGCTCAACGGTGATTCCGAGTTGGCAGCTGCGCTTCTGATAGCCTTTTGGTTCAGGAACGACAGTGACATTTGCCACTGGTTGAAGAGAGAGCTTGCCGACATCGTGTTGGAATTCTACAGCTACGGCGTGGGCTCGCAGTTCGACTTGGCAAAGTTCGGCACCACGGTTGAATTAGTTTTCCAACACTTATTGGCATCAGGGAGTTCATGTTAATTTCCCACCTTAGCTCCGAGTTACCTAACCTACTAGTAGGTCTGGTCGAAGACGAAGAACGGGACCGGCAAGTCATTGGACTCGGGGCGGCCGACAAGCGCCTTGTCCTAGCGAAGATGGTGGACGGCGCAATGACCGAAATGGCCCTGTCGGAGGACAAGGCGATCGAGGCCTTGTTGAGCAAAGGGAGCTACATGCGGGGATGGCACCCTGGCCTTCCCATTCACATGTCATGACATGATTGACATGGATTTGTCACTGATTGCATGCCATAACATGGTTGATCAGGTTGCCATGTTTCCGTGTTGCCATGTAACCAGTTGTTGTGATGATTCCATGTTGACATGATGCCATGTGGCCATGACTCCATGTCGACATAACGTGGCCATGACTCCATGTTGACATGGTGCCATGTGGCCAAGACTCGGGGGAAGGGGGGGGGGGGGGGGGAGGGAGGGGGGAGGGGAGAAGGGGAGGGAGAGGGGGGGGAGGGTGGGGGGGCGGGAGGGAGAGGGGGGGGAACGAGGGTGGGTGGGAAGAGGGAGGGGGAGGAAGGGGGCGGGGAGTGGAGGGAGCAAGGGGGGGGGGAGGAGAAAAAGAGGGTGGGAGGAAGGGGAAGAGGGGTCAGCACCAGAGTCTAAAGCATGTTACATGAGCTATGTTGGACGTGAACTCCATGTCGACTACATGGCCATGACTCATTTGACATGATGCCATGTGGCCATGACTCCATGTCGACATAACGTGGCCATGACTCCATGTTGACATGGTGCCATGTGGCCAAGACTCCATGTTGACATGATGCTATGTGGACGTAACTCCATGTCGACTTAACATGGCCATGACTCCATGTTGACATGATGCCATGTGGCCATGACTCCATGTCGATATAACGCGGCCATGACTCCATGTTGACATGGTACCATATGGCCATGACTCCATGTTGACATGATGCTATGTGGCCATGACTCCATGTCGACTTAACATGGCCATGACTCCATGTTGACATGCTTGTCATCATACTGACATGCTTTCATGTTGACATACCAACTGTCATGGTTTTGGGAGGATGCATTCTGACATCTGGTCCTTTAAAAACCTCAGCACTTGCCAGCGCTACACCAACATGGGCAGAAAGCTGAAGGAGCTTCCGGCTGTCATGGAGGCATTGAACACCATGTCCCACCGCTTTGGCGTGGTCCCCTTGACGGAATCACCTTTGGGGGTTCACCTTGGACTCGGAGAACCAAATTCCATTCTCCATCCTGGATAAAGTCTGCTGGATAGACCTGACTGGATTGAAAATGTCCAGCACCCAGCGGGGAGCCTTGTACCGTGCTCACAGGCTCATGCGGACGACGGGATGATGCTGGCCAATTGGTTCAGCCCAATTGGCCAGCCCATGCTTGCCACACATGGAGTTTCATGCTTGTCATCCATGGAGTTTTGCCATGCTTGCCATGTTAGGGACCGTGGGTATTCATGTTTGTTGGCCATGTTTCCCATGTGTGTCATGTTTGAGTCATGGTTTCGTTTACCACCATGGACTTGCATGCCTGCCATGGGTGTCCCAAATTCATGCAACATTAACACTAGCCCACTGTCCGGCCCCCGCAGGAATGCCAAAGAAGAAAGATGAGTCCCCTGATCAGCGAGACTTCAAGAAAGAAGCGAAGAAATTTGTAAAAACCTTGATGGAGGAATCGGACCCCAAAGCTTTATCGTTCCAAGATGTGAGGGAAGCTGTCCAAAAAGAGCTGTTGAAGGGAGAAGAACCCAAACATGTGGCAATGTTCAATGCCATTGTAGATTCCACCGTTTCACATTTTCACCGCAAGGAGAGAGAGGTGGCCAGCTCTTCGAAACCGAAAGGAGTTTTGAAACCAATCTTCAAGAAATGAACGGTTGAACATGAGTTGGGAGCATGACCTGCTTCATGTGGAGCTTGTCATGTCATGGTCACATGAGATGGGAACATGGCATGACGTGCCATGACCATGGCATGTCCATGTATGACATGTCATGTCTGAACACGGGATGTCTTGCCATGACTGTGGCATCATGTCCATGTATGACATGACATGGAATTTGCATGAAAGACATGCCATGGGGGGCTTTTGGGCGGGCAGGTCTGGGGGGGGGCTTTTCAGCATCAAAAAAGTTGTGGCATCAATTTTAACAAATTCCTTCATATAGAACATCATTACAAACAGTGGGCCTTTCATAGGGATTTTATTCCCGGGGACACCGGAACGCCGAGGACTTAACTACCAATCTTTTGACGGAATGGCATCGCACAATGGGTTTACCAATGGGGAAATTTTCTGCCTAAAGGGCTTTTTTGTTGACCTTGGATATCTGCCTCCAAATCAACTGAATATGTTGGATCATTCTGGACTTAAGGGGCGAATGTAGTCACGCAACTATGTGGATGTTGCCTAAGGCCTAAAGCTCTGGGAACCTTCATGTATGCCATATCCCTACAAGTTGTTCACCACGTCTTGGTTTGGGAAAGTTCATAATTTTAGCTTGCCCTCTGATAAAGGAACATAACTATGGAAAATCACCAAATTTTAATGGCAAAATCACCTTGTTTTATTGGCCATCTATACCAGAGCTATGTTAGTCATAACCAGAGGCTACCAGAGGGTATCCCGCCACCTTTCCTGAAACATCCCGAACCGCAACCGCATTTCGCATGGCCAGTTTCGGATGCCCCGCTTAATGGATTGATTTCAAGGACTGATTGCAGGAAAATCTGTGGTTTCCGGCGTTTTTTCATAGTTTTTCCACACCAATCCATTGAAGATTTCCATGTCGCCCTGCGCATTCTCTCCTTCAACACATCCAAGACCGGCTCTGAGACAACAGGCACGGGAGGTAACTCGCTACTCGCTGGCCAGTTCTTCAACTGAACCTGACGCGCAAACGTTGCGCAAACGTCTGACACCGGCCCTGTCGCCCAGGGCTGTGGATCACGGCAACTTATTAGCATAAAATCAGCAGAAATGCTGGCTGTGGCTAATAGTTGGCTGATATACACATCAGAAACTCACCAAAACTATGTATGGTCTTGTAAGGTCTGAACTACAGTCACTCCCGTAGCCCATGTCTGGGATAGGAACATCTGCCCCAAACATGCCCCAAATGCATGTGAATATACTATGCATAAAGTGATGCCCGCCAGTCTGAAGTCGCGTCAAGTATAGATCTTATTGATATTACCCTCTGGTGAACTAACATAGCAATGGAAAATCACCATTTTTCATGGGAAAATCCACTATAAATGGCCATTTTC